GAACTTTTGTTGAGACTAGAGGTAAAGGTGGAGCAGGATTACAACATATCTGCTGAGCTATTGCATGTAGATGAAGTGATGAGTATTTATGAGTATGAGTCTACTAAATACTCATGGCACTAGATGTAGATTCACTACTCACCAAATACTCTAGACTCTACTCTACTCATCTGCGAGTATACTCTTAACTCGCACAATGAGTACACATTTATTTACGAGTATTTTTTATACTCTATACTCGCGTCTGTCTTTAGTTTGCGGCGAGGTTTGAGAATGAAAGGATCCTCGTTCAATAGGGGGTCAATAGGAGATTCTTCTGATTTAAGAGGTTCAATCTCGCTTTTGGTTTCCACGTCGAAGGTTTCTAGGTAAGGTCCTGTCACATTCTGTGATTCATAATTCTTAAATACTTTCAGATCTGTAGGAGCCTTGTTGGACTTAGATTCAGTCTGCTTGCATCTTGAAAGGCCTATATGCCTTAAGGTAACTTTAAGCAACTTAAAGCATCTTAAGACATGAAAAGATAATAAAGATAAGTAAGCTAATAAGACGCTTAAAACAAAGGTTCACATTGACGAGTGCTTTAAGGCAACTTAAGATACTTTAAGGCATTCTAAAAGCTCTTACAAGACTCTTTAAAGTTAACTTAAAGCCTACGTCTTCGTGAACTTAGCTTAAGTTGCTTCTTAAGTTGCTTCTTAACTGCTTTCCGAGTGCCTTCCAACTGTTACAGAGCTGACTTAAAGTATACGTCTTCATGAACCTTAGCTTAAGTTGCTTCTCAACTGCCTTTCGAGTGTCCTTTGACTGTCTTTTGAGTATCTTCTGACTGCCTTCCGAGTGCCTTCCAACTGCTATAGAGTTGATTTAAATTATATATTATTATGAACCTTAGCTTAAGTTGCTTTCCAACTGTCTTCCAACTGCCTTTCAAGTATCTGCTGATCATCTTTCAAGTCTCTCCTAAGTGTCTTTCGACTGCCACTCAAGTGTCTCCAAATCGCCTTTTAAGTGCCTATAAACTGCCTCTCAAGCACCTTAAAAGAACATCTCTTACAACTTAAAAGACACTTAAAGTCAAACAGAAGAAGCATCAAAATTGATTTCATTCAAACAAAAGGAGCATAATAGACGATGATTAATTTTTGTAGCTATTTTTATATCGATAAAAGACGTCCTAACTCCTACGTTCAAGCAGCTGCTTCAATCTCCCCCGCCTGATTTTTCCGACGGGCAACGCCGATGGGTATGCAATCGTTCTCACTAGTTCTGTTTACCTGATTTCTCTAGGCCATTATAGAAACTGATATGGGCATCTTAGACAAAGCACAAGGAAGGGAACGTGCATGAGAACTATTCAAGATGTTTTGCGATGACCAAAAGGACCAGCCCGGCTGGGAGCTAAACACCACATATGCAGTAAGTGTCACTTTTCTGACTCTTATTTGTCAACCAACTTTTTCGCCTTCTCACCATAGATCTGTTGTGATGACGACATTAGGCTCAGCGTCGTTATCGCTTGCCCATGCAAGAAAAAGCTTTGGGACAGGTGAGTTAAGCAATTCTTTTGTGGTTGTGCTATTGTGACCGCCTCTTAGGGCTGCGTAATGAAAGCCTATCAACGCAAAAAGGAGTGTATATACCCTCCATCCTCTCCCAAGTTTCACGCTAACCTTTTTGTCAAGCCCAGTCTGCAGGACTGAGAACACCCTCCCAGTTCACCTCGAATGGTTAAAGCCGACGTCTTTTGAGTATGAGGTTCAAAAAATCAAATCTCAGTCAGAAGCTAAGAAGCGGAGAAGAACCAGGCTGATCCACCCTATCTAAAAGGCTTTGAAAAACTTCGAACAGCTATTAATAATTGTATTCTAAAATTAGAGAGAGCATGCAAGTAGTCACAATGAAAAAATTAAAAAAAAGCCTGAAATAAGGAGCAAGAGCAACAACGTACTTGCCCACAGACTTCTCAAGAGCAGCAAAGTCAAGGGAGCTCAAAGCATCAGAAACTGCAACCTCAAGAAGGAAAGTTTTGTTAGTGTAAACTCTAAGAGAAATGTCAGCATAGTCAAAAGAAAGAAATAACAGAACTTACAATATATTCTTAAAAAGAATAGACTGCAAGTTGTCAATGTACGTAAGGGTCTTGTTCTTAAAATGCTTAAGGCCAACTTAAAATGCTTAAGGTCAACAAGGTGGTAGAGATATCGTACAGAGGCGTACTTCTTAAAGTCCGCACGACGTTGAGTTCCATCACGCCATTCAGTCAAACAGTGCTCAATCTGGATAGAAATTAGTCATAGTCAGACAAAAGGGGAAAGAGATAAGGTTTGAAAGTTAGATTAGTTAACCAGTTAGTAACCACCCATTAACCCTAACCTAACCACCTCTAACTGATATAACGGTTAAGAATCTTAACCGATTTCAGCAGTTAAAGTGGTTATGGTTATAGGTTAAAAAATATTTCAGATATCCTATAACCGCTAATTAGGGCTAATTAGGGTTATTAACCGGTTACAACTGCACTAATCGCTAGGTTGGTTAGACCGGTTATAACTGATTATTAACCGGTTTAACCAACCAAATCCCGAAAATTCAAAAGAAGGTTGCCATGAGTGGGAATTGAACCCACATACTGCTGCTGAAACACAGCAGGAGCTCATCCATCTGAGCCACAGCCGCCGCAAGCTCTATCAATTTTTAGGTATCATAGACCATCTTTGCTCACACTCAAACAACTATGGCAACTGTGTGCATATACCTCATGATGGTCATGCACGCCACTTACCAAGTCAAATGATTAATTGACACACTACTCCTAACAAAAAATTATTGACAGACTTATTCTTATTAATAATAAAAGACTGGCATCATAGCTCCTCTCTAGTCATACTCTGATAGGTCTAGCAAGTGTGTGAGGTACATGTACACCATTTAATGATTAACAGACGGATGCCCCACAAATCCATTCATGCTTGACGAGCATCCCCGGGCAATGGCACAGGGATACTCAATCATGCATGAGGTCGGATTGAGGGTAGGAAGATGATAAACATAGTGGTGAAAGGTGATATATATGGTCCTGGTATATGTCTTGCATATCTGTGAGCCCTATTGTGGGGCACTGAGATGTTATTCAAAGATCGGCACTGTTGTTACTGTTATTGTCCTCCTCCTCGAGTCGCGGATGGTCATTATCCTATCCTGAAGTCGTTGCAGTCCTCTGCCGCTGTTGCAAAGACAGCAGTGGTGCCCAGCATGAAAACAGAGATATAAAACTCGATCCATAGGTCGCCTGACAATCATCAGCGCAGCAGAGGCGACAATTGTCGTCCTCTAAGCGGTCCCAGTGGTCGTTGATTCGTCCTGTAGTAGTCAATAGCTTACTGCAGTAACAAAGAAAAAAAATACGCATCTTCGTGACACCGCCTGCCTGCAGACAGCACAGCGCGGCGTTGAGTTTCATAGCCAATACCAGAGTCCTCTGCCTAGCAAGGCTTCTCCATCATCGTGGTTGAAGATTTGCAGCCTCGTTCAAGGCTTACATGTCCTGCGAGACCACAGGGGCTCTTCAAGTCAGCAGACAAAATCAGATTAAAGGAGATGACATAAAGTTAGTCTCCAAGACAGTAGGCAACACAAAGTTGATCACTGGGGAACTAGCTTGATGGTAGTGGTGGTTGAAGGGAGAGAATGAGTCTTCGATCACCATACGGATCCAATCTATACACTAGTGATCAGATCATCGAGTACCGGGGATTTGTCTGAAACTTTTTTTAGGACCTCTCCTTTTGATATTAAGCTCAATGCACACTATTTGAAAGTGAGAAAAAATATATTTCTATCTATAATGAATACTTGTTTGATTAAAAAGACAGTCGAACAACTGGTAGAGATATTATTGCTAGTGATTAAATGATCACATAAGTAATCAATGATTAAAGGACTGATCATTTGAGTGGCGATCATGATGCATTTTAGTGGGTGCTCTCTGTCTTCAACCACTACCACCTCAAGACGCCCGCACCCCGATGACTGGACCTTGGGACGCGGCCCGATGACTGGACCTTGGGACGCGGGTCTTTCGGACGTCTTTCTTCTTTCATCTACCTCTTTTTTGCCTATTTTTCCTGGATATGCGGGCTTGAAGAGCCCCGGCGGCCCCGCAGGATGTGTAAGCCCTCGAACTAGGCTACAAATCTTCAACCACGATGATGGAGAAGCCTTGCTAGGCAGAGGACTCTGGTATTGGCTATGGAACTCGACGCCGCGCTGTCTGTCTGCAGACAGGCGGCGTCACGAAGATGCGTATTTTTTTCTTTCTTACTGCAGTAAGCCATTGACCACTACAGGATGAATCAACGATCACTGGGACACTTAGAGCGATAATTGTCGCCTCTGCCGCGCTGACGATTGTCAGGCAGCCTATTAGTTGAGGTTTTGTGCTGGGCACCGCTGCTGTCTTTGTGACAGTGGCAGAGGACCACGATGACTCTCGGGACACGACAACCACGATTTGCAACTTCAGAGAGGATGATGAAGGAAGAGAGGTGATAATTTGGAAGTTGGGCTGGGTGGCGTTGCGGATGCATAGAACAGTACGTGCTTTTATTTGTCTTCTGCATGTTCATGGCCTCGATGGTGTAGAATGACACCGTCGAGGTTTTTTGACCTTCATTACAGTAATATGGCATCTTCTGCAACTGCTTAAGCCCCACTAATGTGGCTGCATACATTCTGATTCTCTCTCACCCTCACACATGACACACCGGCATGCACCATCTTGCTTACATTCCTGGACTGTCGAGGTGCTTTTCGTGTAGGATATAACCACTGCACATTTGTGCAGATGTTGTTTACTTGTGTCTTACCAAAAAATCTCTCGACTATCTGTTAAACATTGTTGTTGGACTGTCCGTTAAACATTATTGTTGGATACACTTATACTAGTATCGATAGGAATAAGATTCATCATAAAAGTGATCTCAAGGTTGACATCTGCGGCGGCGGTGGCCCAGTGGTTAATGGGTCATACTTCTATCTAATATATGCGGTATGCGGGTGTTCAAACCCCCTGCTGCCCTTTTTGAGTGAAGTATGCCCGGTTAAACCGGTTATTAACTGGTTATAACTGGTTAACTGGAAAAGTGGTTATAAACTAGTTATAACCACTAACCTAACCGGAAAATAACCGGTTACGGTTAATGACAGTTATCGGTGGTTACAGTTATGGTTAACAGACATTAGCATACTTGGTTATGGTTACTGTTACGGTTAGACCTGACTGAGGGGGTCTAACCGTAACCTAACCTAACCTTAAAACCCTAGAAAGAGAACACATGACTGTCATCATCAGGGCCATGAAGACCAAGGGAAGGCGCTGGACCTCGATCAGGTGGCGGAAGGTCTTACCACTCTGCTTCTTGCGACCCTCCATAAACATAGAGCGAGCGACAGACTCGAAGAAGTAGCGTTTGAAAGTCAGGTTAGGTTAGATCTTTAGACCTTACCTACCCTGATCGTTAACCGCGCCCCGCAGGGGAATTTTTTTTTGGCCTAACCATTGACCGTAATCGCGGTCTGACCGTAACCGGCCCATAACTGCGGTCTTTAGACCAGTTAGTAATCGATTTAACTGGTCTCCGGTCAGATCGGTCAGTAACTGCAGTTAACCGGTCATGACCGACATTAACTGCAGCAAAAGCACTTACCAAGGCTTGGACTTGCAGCTTGTCAAGGTGAGTACTGTAGACTTTCATTCAATTCGTCGGCCCATGTGACCTGTGACCGGTCCGACGAAATTATGGTTTCGACGAATTACCATATATGGTAATTCCCGCCGCGGCGGAGCTGCGGCGGGAGGCTGGCGGGGGCCCCGCCGGGGACTTTTTCTCAATTTTCGCTGTGACCCTTGTGACTTTTCGTCGATTTCGGATCCTCTGTGACCCGTGACCGACGAATTGAATTAAAGTGTACAGTATACCATACTTTCTTGCTACACCAAGGCCGATTACATTATAACACTAATTACAAATGAATCTAAAAGTACATAAAGGTGTTTCGCCAAGGCGATGCAGCGCACAAAGGTGCGCGCATCATACCCCGTTCGAAAGTACCCAATATCTAGATGTTGATGTTTCGAGTCGAAGGTGCTAAGTCCGAAGAGCAGCACGACACTGTTCTGAATGCATGGTGGCGAGGCAAGACCAAGATGAACGCCCGAATGTATGAGACGCAAGGGTGACATGATAGTTCATCGTAAGAGCGCAATGTGAAGGACGAAATCCTGAGTGTAAAGCAAGATGGTGAAAGGTGAAAGGAGAGTGGGAGATGCAGCCCACGTTGGTGGGGCTTACGTGTCGTTGTCGATGCCGCGTCGCTGTCGCTGTATCCGCCGCTGTCATCTGGCAATGCTGGTGGGCATGAATAGAATGAAAACAAACAAAAAAGACGTACTTGGGAAGTGCATTGTCTCCACACTCTCCCAGCCTCACAGAATCTGGCTACAGGTGCCTGTCTCGATGTCGGCTTTTCTCATTGACGACGCGCGCTATTGCTGCACTAGACAAAGACAGTCGTCATCATCATCGTGAAGCGGCTGCTGCTGTCGCCGTCGCCGTCACCTTGTTGGTATGCGGCCTCGTTGGAGGGCTTACGCGTCCAGCGGGGCCGCCGGGGCTCTTCAAGCCCGCAAACCTATCCGCTGGCAAAATAGAGGCAGATTCGAAGGAGACGACACAAAGTCGGTCTCCGTAACCATGGCAGCGACGACTCAAAGTCGGTCGCGAGAATTGCAGGATGGCCGTGGTGGCCCGGTGACTCTTGGCGTGGAGCTGTGGAGAGGTGGTGGTGGTCAGAAGGGAAGACAGCGACTCTGAACGGTGTCCGATCACTGTCCGGATTGTCCGGATCGGGTATCTGATCATCGACGGAACGAGCTCGTCGACGTTCGGGACAGCGACGACGGGCTCGAAGTAGAAATTTAATAGTCGGGATATCATGCAGTATAGCTCTATCACATATTACAATAGAATTTTTGGTGATACTACTGTATGAAAAGAAGAAAGTAGGCTTACATAGATAGTATCCATTACCCCAGCTAGACATCGTGCGCTCCAGCGCCGTCAGCCTCCTCAGCAGCTCTAATTTCTACTGGAATGCATAATTAATAGCACAAGCTAACTATTACAGGTAGAATTCAACTAATAACTGTGTTCCGGGAATCTTAAGAGAGACGAAGACCTGGTAGTTGTTACACAGAGATGGTATCATCTTCTGATACACTAAAAATTGAGCCAAAAAAGAAATTACTCTAATAAGTTGTGTGAATACATCCTCTAATTTACGAAGCCTCCAATCGCATCCGTTATGGCGCTGGAGGCTGTTCAAGTCGTCAGAAACTGTCCGGTCCGATCATCCGAGTGGTGATTGAGACACTTTTTTGTCTCTCCCTCAAACCACCACCATCACACGACGCCTGGATGCCGATGACTCAATCAGGGGACGCGGGTCTTCCAGGCGTCGTTCTCCTTCGATCTGTCTCTTTTTACCGCTTTTTTCGTGGATTCGCGGGCTTGAAGAGCCCCGGCGGCCCCGCTGGACGCATAAGCCCTCCAACGAGGCCGCAAAGTCTCAACGACAATGCTGGTGACCCCCGCAAGGGGGAGAACTTAGGAATATGATGCCGCGCTATCTGCTGATAGGCGGCATCGACAAGGTGCGCGCCTTTTTGTTGGAAGTGCAAGCAGAGGCTGAGCGAGTCTAGTAGCGGTGATGACCAGATCGGGTCATGCCTGCCTGCGGGGATTCGTCTGAAACTTTTTTTGAGACTTCTCCCTCAGACGTTACGCTCATCGCGCACGCTCTGAGGGTGTGTATAAATCTATTTGTACTTCTAACGGACACTTACTATATTCACCTTACACTACGGAGAATGGGTCGGGTTAGCACTACTGAAAACTCTGTAAAAATCTGCTGAATATATAGGATTATACACCTCACAAAAGTAAGCAGAGACAGACTCAAAAAGCAAGGTTGTCCCTCCGTTTCGGGCTGCCTAAAATGCCCGGCAAACTCGGTGTTTCGGCACCATTGGCTGCAATGGGAAAACCGAGGTAAAACTCGGGGTTTTCAGCAGCGCGTGATTCTGAAGATTTCCACAAAAAACTCTGTGTTTTACCCACATGATGCTTGGGACAAAATCTGGTTGAAATATGAACTTTCTTCTTCCTTTTAGGGCTCCTGAATCAGACCCAAAATGTTGGCTTTTGACAGCCTTTCATCAAATAGCACAATCTTCCCAAAATCTGATGTTTCCTGCACATTTTCATTAGGTGAGAGATTTAGCTACAACTCAGAAATTCTGGGAAGTTTTTTACAGCCTAATTTTCATCTGAAACCCTAAATTTTTATAGGCTTTCCTCCTACGTGAAATATTGAGCTCTCCGGAGAGCCGGATAGCCGGCTACGGATTACCGGACAGCGTGCTACTCGACGGTAGCAGAGGCTCACTGTACCTGCCGTCTTGGGATTTACGCCCGCAAGCGCCCTTTCAGTTGACATTGGCGCGTGTAGGTCGTCGAAGGAGCCCGTTCTCCCATTTTGGTGCTGCTGAGCACGGCGCTGGTGCGTTATTGTCGCCCACCCCACCTCATTTACTTACTAGACTGCACAGATTGTCTGCAATAACGCCTTCGCTACTGCGCGCCATTTGTCACCTTTTCGTCGCTACTAGTCTGACACTTGTCACAGTCGTCTTCGACGGCACCCAAGACGCGACTTTACCGTCCCACTCATAAAACGTTGAGTCTGCTACTCCATATGGCCGCGCTGTAAGTCTCCCATCTTTCTTCTCGTTGTCGTTCTACCTACTTCGGTTGTAGTGCTGTTTCATTCGAGCCTTCGTCAACCGGCCTTTACGACCAGACCACGAAATGGTCCGGATTTAATAACGAGATGGTCCGGATTTAATAACGAGATAGTCCGGATTCTTCGACTGCTCGCGTTTCCCTGGACGACACAGACGGCGCTCCTAAAGTGTTTGAGTCGTCCTCTAGATCTAGGACGCCACATCACGGATTCGCCGCCGTATCAACGCTGCTTTCATGGAGTTTACTAATCGGGGTTCGCTAGTTGATGCAGGTTGATTTGTTCCTTCTCGTCTGTAAGTCTGTTTCTGCTTGAGTATTGACTGAATATTCTTCCATACCTTCGATAGAATACCCAGTTGCGGCACACAATTCAACGCCGCTCCCTTTCACGCCGTCCTTCGCCGACAATAGTTGTCGACACGTTGTATCTAATGCTTGGCTTCGCGTCGGTGAATGCACTTTGGCTACGCGATGGCTGCCGTCTGTACGCTAACTCCTTATATTCTTGCGTTGATGAGATCGACGACGACTGGACCAGGAACCTCTGGCTCTCAGCCGTATTCATTGCTCTGGTCTAATGGATTTCATCGACTGTGCCAGAGGATTTTGATGATCTTGGACGGTTCTCGCTCGGTTTCGAAGTGTTACTGGCATGTAGTCCAAATACTTATCGAACGTAAACATACACTAATAACCCAAAACCCTACGACGCACTACGCGCAAACTCGTCATGGCACGTCCGGACGGCAATCGACACTTAATGAACATGGAAAACGATGAGACAGAGCGGACAGTGACCAGACCGGAGACGCACTCTAATCTAGATCTGTCCCAGGGAAATAGTGCTTTGTTCCTCGCGGTACGGGTTGGGTGAGGTCTCGTACCTGACCCGTGCCTGTCTTCTTCAATAACGGTGTGTCTCACCTTACCGCCAGCAGCGATCTCCAAGGCGCTACTCATGTGGATGTCGTATGTTCCGGATGTCAAAGACGCTCTGCCTGTCCTTAAATCCTCTGATTCTTGGGATCGAGAAATCGGTCACTACGTTTCTCCCATGGGTGCTTACGATCCTCACTGGTTCATCGAAGGAAAGGTTAACGAAACTTCGTCCGAGTGGTTGAGGGGATTCTTCCACAAGGGTTTCTTCCAGAGACGTTGAGTGGGCGGGCACAGACTGTCGTCGTTGGACGTGCTCGTCTTGGTGGTATTCCC